GAGAAAGATTAGCATGGCCTCTGCGCAAGGACGACACGAATAAATCGAGAAATGGTCCAAAAAAGAGAAAAAAAGAAAGAACCAGGCGAACACAGCAGTAGGAGGGAGAGAGGAGGAAGAGAAGAGGAAGAGAGGAGGAAGAGAAGAGGAAGAGAGGAGGAAGAGAGGAGGGGAGACACCCTGCACTTTCTACTGAATTGTTGTTTTGCGTAAATCAGTCTGTCTCGCACTCTCCAGCAGCAGCCCGTAATTGCACCTCTGGGGCCAAGTCCCAGTAGCAGCGTTGAGCTACCTCAACGCCTGAATCTGGACGCTTTTGCGGAGATGTGCAGAAATAGTGTTGAGTTTCCTGAACTGCACGTCTCCACAAACACGTCCAGATTCAGGCGTTGAGGTAGCTCAACGCTGCTACTGGGACTTGGCCCCTGGCAATGCAAAGGCTGACCGCATCATTGCGCTTTTTTTTTTTTTTTTCACAACATGCCTGCCATTCTGGCACGATCTCTGCATCCCTTTTTTTACTTATATTTTCTCATATTAGTGCGAAAAAAAGGGCTCTTTGCTATGTGCACCTGCGTCACTCTAGTGATTGGAAGTTTTGGGGGAAAACCTATGTGGGGACCTGCCATTCTGCACAATCTCTGCATGCCCATCTTTCCCTTTTTTTTGCTCATTCCATTATTATTATTTTATTATTATTATTTTTTTTATTATTATTTTTTTCAATAGAGGACGACAGCCTTGAGATGTCATCGTGAAACTGACGGGCCCTAGGTAATTCAGGAATTTTGTTCATCGGGGCCGAGGTCCCACTAGCGAAGAGGATCGGATAAAGCTACTGAATTTGGGCTTGTTTTCAGCAGAGATGCAGAAAAGCAGTTCAATCTCAAATTTTCTGCACCTTTGCACAAACCCGTCCAGATTCAGGCGTTCAATCCAATCCTCTTTGCTAGTGGGACCGCGCCCCTGGTTCCATCTGCGTTCTAACTCACATCGCTGCTGCATTTTTTTTATTTTTATTTTTTTTTTTTATTTTTTTTTAATGGCTGTACCAACTGAACGAAGTCGGTTGGTCTCTGCATGACCAAGAGGTTCTGCTTCAAAAAAAAAAAAAAAAAAAAGAGGTTCTGCTTTCTAGCATACTACTCCTTTAATTATTTTATAATAATTGATAATAACTTAATAAGTTAATAGCATACAAAATGCAAGGGAAAAAAAAAAAAAAAAAAAAAAAACTTCGAACGATTCCCTTCCCCCCCACTACAAAAAAAAAATTGAAGGAAACCAGCTAACGGCAGCATGCAGAAAATGCCAAAAAGCGTCCTCAGGCTGTCACGCGCGTGCGAACCCGCCCGCCCGCGCACCCACCCACCCACTCACCCACCTACCCACACACACACAAATATTTTCCACCCACCTACCCACACACACACAAATATTTTAAGTTCAGAAGCAGGCCACAATTGCAGCAATTGGCTTAAAAATAATAATAATAATAAAAAGCCTGCCATGCTAGACTACCACCCGGGCCGCCCGGGTCCCGGGTGGCCAGCCCGTGCAAGGACCAAGGAAGGTCCCAGCAACAAAAAAATAAAAAAAATGAAATCCAAAACATCCGGAAAAAAAAAATGTTATGCAGAAAAATAAACTGAACAACTTTTGCCTCAGGGTCACATCGAACCTCTTCACCAAATCTAGAAATAATTCTTTTATTTTTTTTTATTTTTTATTTTGGGCTCGGCCTGGCAAGTGACCCCGGGCCACTCTGGTAGCCTAGCTGCCATGCTGCACCACCTCTGCATCCCTTTTTGCGCTGATTTTTGAAGCTTAGGGTCTCGTTAGACACTCCTAAAAGTGCCTGTTTTTAGGATTGCGTCTTCGTTGCACGCAATCCTAAATCTAATTCCGAGATCGAAAATGTGAAAAAGTCGTTAGGACGAGTCCTAAAGGATTTAGGATTCCCCAGGCGAAATCGTCATAAATTTTCCAATAGCCCCCGACCTACTGAAAAATTTAGGATTCCCGCGTTTCACGGAGTCGTTGCGTCGCGCGCATGCACTGTCGACAGTCGTTGGTGGTCCAGTCGAGTCGGTGGTTAGACATCGGAGGTTTTCTGCGTCCTGACGCTGGCAACGGCCACGAACGGTAGCCGTTGACAGAGGGGGTGGAGCACGGGGAGGGGCCGAGCGGGGGTGGGCGGGCATCCGTGGTGGACCGTTGGCTCGGCTGCGGGAAGCGGAGGAGGACGACGACGTGCGCAGGACGACATATGGAGTCGCTTCGGGCAGTGCGTGGGCACCAACGGTCGAATTTCAAATCGAAGGCAGGCACCTTTGTCGTCTTCTCTGCTGGTTGTCGGCATATGAAGGTGGAACGGCCCTATTCCCCTGCATGTCGGAACACTCTTCTGCAGTAGTCGCGTGCGAGGGTGGCTCCCGAGGTGAATTTCATGGCTGACATGCAGAGGAGATTGCCTCTGCTGGTACTCGTTGTCGTCATGTTCCTGATTGTCATCTTCCTCCACGTGTGTTTGTCGTGGCGGGCGTGGAAACAACATCGCAAGAGGAGGGCGTCAACGGAACGGGCGGCAGGGGAACGTTCGATGGCGGGCATGCAGGCACGCGCAGGTGTGGGTGCAGGTCAGGGCGGAAGACTACCTGCGACGGCGGAGCCTCCACGCCGGTAGAACCCATCTTTGTACACCCATCTAGAGTCGTGGGAGACGCCACTGCCCCCGTCGGACGAGGAGGCGGAGACGGAAGAACTTCCAACGTTGCCTCTCGCTTGCGGGTCGACGCAAATGTTGTCGCAGACAGTGCGAGTACGCGGGTCGGCTAGCAACGAAGGTGGGGAGTTCACCTCACTCCTGCAGCCAAGCTTGGGAAACGACGGCAACGGAAGACTTCATCTGAGGTTCGGGTTGTCTTTTGGCAGCGCGAGGGAGGCGACCCGTACGTTCATCGTCGACGCCGATCCTTCGCCACGTGGCATTCAACGTTGTGGAAGTCAGCATACCGAGCAGACCACCCTTCGTGGCGGTGTGTCCGTTACTGCAGCTGTCGGGCCGTCGCCACCAACCCGGCAGCATGGATCGACTACGGCGTCCGCCAAAAGAATGACGCATCGTACACAGTGGAATCGCAGCAGGGTCGCCGCTCTTCGGCGGTGGGCGATCGTCGATGGCCAACCGCACAACGCCGACCCAAGCAGACGCAAGGGATGAGCCCGCTTGCAGAACACCGGTGCGTCCTGGACCGACTGTCGAGAACATCACACACGGAGTGTCCAACATGCGGGCACACAGCGATGGCGGCGACGACGGCACCGACGGTGGTGACGATGCCGACGAAGGATTGAGGGCGGACGTGGAAGCAGGGGACGACAACGAAGACATTCAAATTCGGCCATTGGGGAAGATGGCTGGGAGGGCGAAAGGACGCAGCAGAGGTGTTCGTGGTCGATCCGTTGGCCGTGGCGGCAGAGGAGGCGTAAGCGACGACGACGGGAAGTCTGCGACGTACTGGTCTACGGAAGACCAACTGCTCCTAGTGAGATGCAAGCAGGAGCAAGACATGCACCTCGCCGGGCTGGCTCACAATTACGGGCGGATGAAGACGAAAGACTGGAAGTGGGAGGACATTGCGAAGCGGATGGCGAACGCGGGGAGGCCTAAAGACGCCGACGAGTGCATGAAAAAGTGGGACAATCTGTTCCAGAACTACAAGAAGATACAGAGGTTTCAGAATGCCAGCGGCGGGGCAGATTTCTTCAGGCTGTCAAATGAAGAGGAAGGAGAACAACTTCAAGTTCCGGACGGACAAGGTGCTGTACAACGAGATCCATGGAGGCATGCCGGGGAACCACACAATTTTCCCTCCCAACGTCGCCGACACCGGCAGTCCGGACCGGGTGCAGCTGCCGAGGCGAGGAGCGGCTGGCGGGGAGTCTGTGGGCAGTGAGGCCAGGGGTGATGACTGCCCTGAAGAACTTCCTTTGGCGAGGGACTCCGACAACAACGCAGGCAGTGGGGCTGGAGGCAGGAAGCGAAAGAATGCGCGTCAACAGGCGTTGGAGTCGATCGCCGACGTCATGGACCGCCATGGCGAACTGATGTCGTCGACGATCGATTCCTCTAGCAAGCGACAATGCAGCATTCTGACGAGGCAATGCGACATACTCGAACAGGAAGTTGCAGTTTAAAAAGTGCACTACGCGGCGTCAGATGAAACGCAGAGGATGATGTGCCACGTGCTTATGGAGATCGTTGCCGCCATCCGTGGCCAGTCGACGATGTAGGCCGTTCGATGGTGTGTTGATTGAAGTCTGTACATTGTTCGCATTCAATTTACATTCTTTAATACTTTTTTTTCCTTGTTTCCTTCACAAATTCTTTTAGCGAAGAGGACGGTGGTAGAGCGTCCGCTGATGGCGTGTCCAAGACATGACTCCGCAGGGAGATCGGCGCGATTGAAGAGTCGTCCACGTGCCACACGGCAGCATTCGTGGCATGAAGTATTTTTTTGGCATTTTTTTTTTTTTGGTCGCATTTCATTGATGATCATGCCATTGAAGGAGTCGGGTGGATGGTGGTGGGGGGAGTGCAGGGCTTCACTTGGTGAGGGGGGGGTGGGGTTGTTGGGGG